ACAACGGGCTCACCCTCGGCCAGGGGCAGCTCCTGCACATCCTGCGCCTCAGATGCAGGCGCAAACACAAAGCTCAACGCCTTCCATAACCGACGTTCTGCCTTGGCCTTCCCTCGTCGCCGGCGCAGCGCCACAAGGCCGAAGGCCAAGAGAGCCAGCGGAGCAGCCCAGCGCCGAAGGGCACTGGAAAGGCTCATTGTCGCGCCGCGAGCGAGAGAGAGAGGAGGCGGGGAGGGAGGGAGGGAGGGANNTGGAAAAAGGCGGAAACGCATTCTCGCGCCCCGACAGAGAGAGAGAGAGAGTTTTTATAGCATATTCCCGTATATTATAGTATATTCTCGTATATTATGTTATAACATAGCAAATAATAATAAATTCGAGTGAGAGAGAGAGAGAGAGAGATTTGCCATGTGAGCCCAAGCCGGGCCTGGAGGTTTCGGGCACAGGCTCCTCAGGCTCGTGCGCCGGCAGGTGCAGCTGCTCCTTTTGCTCATCATTGCTCATCCCAGACACGGCCCCAGTATCACGACATCCCCTCCTGGCTGCAACTCCGTACAAGGCCTAGCTCACACTGTGCAGCCAAGCCGCAACCACCTCTGCAGCCTCCTCACCGAACTCAACTGCTAGGTTCTCAAGCCGAGCCTGCACCACGGCTGGAACACAGCTTGAGTGGAGACCGGCATGATCCTAGCGCTTGGAAGACTGCAAGATCCTGTTCATCTAAAATAGTAACACATCGAAGCTGCTCTTCGGCACGACTGCCAGACTCCCCGTAACGCTGTATCACAGCTACCACCAGCTGCATGCCTTGGACACGAATGCCCAGATCGCGGCCGCAAGGGTCACCTTGTTCACGTGAAGGCCCATCTCACTCCCCCTTCTACTTGTTCATCGCTAGAAGATTGCGGCCATGCCCCCCCCCCCCCCCCCCCCGCGGCCACCACCCTGCAGTGAAGCAGAAAGACCAGAAGAGCTTGGAGGAGGGGTCTCTGTGGGAAGAGCTGGATGGGCCAGATGAGCTTGGTTCCGGTGCGGGAGTTTAGGATAGTTTAGGGACAAAACGGGTATCGTTGCGTGACAGCGAAATACAGCGAACATGGAGACAGCACGCACCACGCACCTTTTCACATTGAGGCGAACTACGCGTCTGAAGGATGCAGCTTCAGCAGGATCGTCGTAGACATCACAAGTGCAAGCCACGGCATTGTAGAGACTGAGGCTTGCGCACTTGGAGGAAGCATCTTTGCACACTGTCGCAAATGTCCTGCGAAGCGCAACGCTCAAGCTCGCAACCCTGCCGGACTACCACCATCGTCGAGCTTAACATCCGTTTTCTGTGCATGCTGCAATGTGGAAACGAACAAGGATAAGGCGGTGCTTATAGGCCTTGATAAAGAGCCGGAAAGCTCCAAATCTCTCAGAGATTCCTAAGACTCCATGTCCGGGTCCCGGAGCTTTCACAGCGGCAGGCGGCATCTCGACAACATACAGGGACGAGGTAACCACATCCACCTGCGATGGCTTTGTGCTGCGCTTCTGCCACCCAACTCTACACATCTCTGCATGGCCTCGCCCGACAGCTGCAGCTCGGCACCTTCATCTTCCATACATGTCTCTTTCAAACTCTCTCGTCCTCTCAACCCGCCAGCACCTGCGGCCAAGCCGAGCAAAGCAGCCTCGGTACATGACGGCGGGCGGATACAAAGCGCTAGCCTGCCCCCGGGAACTGCTGGACTACCATCCAGCTGGGCTTCGCGACATGCTGCAACTGAGGTATAAAGGTATTGCTATGTTCGATTCTGAGGTTCTTCAGCCGTGCAAGAAACAGTTCCCGCAAGTGGATGGTGGCTTTGCTACTGCTAGGGGCACGCACCACTGAACATGCAACCGGCACCGAGGGGCGAGGATGACAGCCGCCATTTCAACAACCGCTGCGGATTTGGGCCGAGAGCTGCGGCAAAAACAAAGCTCCCAGGCTTCCTGGCACCTACGGCTCTGCGGGCTAGTATTACCAGTATTACAATTATTGCTATTGCTACGCTTATTGCTGTTCTTACTATTGATGGGACATCTTCGGCACATCCAGGCAAATGTGGCATCTGAATGTCACGTCGGAGCATTCACTGTTCAGATCAACCCGAGGTGGTCCGCCTATGTAGGGCTTGAAGTACTCGCGCTCGCGGCGCTGGTTCTGCTCCTGCCCAAGCTGGAGAGCAAGTCTTCCTGAAACCTGCACCCCTGCATATACCATCAGAGTAATAACGGCAGTAATGCGTGCAAGAGTAGTAATGATAGTAACAATAGCAATAATCGTTAAAACAGTGATAATAGCAATAGTTGCGACAATAGTTATGAGAGCAATAAGAGTAGAAATCATACCTGTAATCGTAGCAATAGTAACAATACTGTAATAGTTGATGATAATCATACTCATTGTAATGGTAATAACAATAATAATAGTAGTAATACTAATAATAATAAAAATAGTAATAATAATAATAACAGGCACTGGCCCAGTCCAAGCCTTCTCCTTTGCAAGCTTTGTAGCTTCTGCTGCGGCCTTTGCCGCTAACTCAGCTGCTGTCGGCTGTGAGCTTTGCTTTGAAGCGGCTGCCTTCGCAGCTGCTGCTGAAGCCGCACTTCCTGCTTCTTGCGTCACCTCCTCTGCCGCCACTTTGGGCATGGCATCCTGGGCAGAGGGCGCGAACAAGGTCCTGTCATGCTTCATCACTTATGTCTTGTGGCGCAAAGCATAAAACCGGCAGATGACTCGCTAGGTGCGACTGCAACTTATATTCATGCGGCCATCAGATATGCGGAGCTGATGTGCCAGGCTACCTGAGGCGAAGCAGGCGGCTTTGGCTTTTCCTTGGCGGCTTCCGACCTGTCAACACTCCAGGAAAGCCCTCTTAAGGGATTCAAAAAGACGCGCCCGTCCTTCGCTCCTTCTTCTTCGGAGCTGGTGCTTCGAGAATTTCAAAGCAGCCAAGGCGGAGACTCGGCAAACACTTCTCCGATGAGATCAGAAGCGAAAGCAAGCTGAAGGAAGCACTCGAATGCACGGATATGCATGGATGAACACTTCCCGAACGCAGTGCTCGCAAACGCAGGACCGCTTTGTGATCGCATCCCACACGTACAACACGATGCAACGTATGCACAGCCCGCGACTCTTCTGGCAGCGCAGATTCTGTTATCGCTGCAGAACGCACGCCTCGCAACTGTGGCGACAGACATGCTTTCAAGAGTTTACGTTCAACTCAGTGTAAGGCCTTTGTTCAGCGCACCTGTGGAAGCTGAGCGTGCGTCGCCTGAAGCCGTGCCGCAGTGCACAAAGACACAAAATATGCGATGCTACACGATACTATACTCGGCTATACTATACTATATGATACTACACCATACTATACTATGCGATGCCATGCCATGCTATGCCATTCTGCTCTAGACGAAAGCAGCTTTGGTCCCAAGGTGCTGAAGTTGGTCTTGCGGCGCTTCGCGCCTCAGGAGCTCCCCCCCGGCTCTGGCCGGCTCTAAGGTTCATAGAGGCTCCCAGGCTGAGAGGGGTTTGGGTTTAGGGTCTAGGGTCTAGGGTTTTGGGTTTTCAAAGCCATGATGGAGTTGGATCCCAACAGTATGGTTTTTTTGGGGGGACCCTAGCTCCAGAGCAGGTTTTTTGTCGTGGGCCCTCTGGGGTTGAGGGTCTGGGTCACTGAGCGAAGGACTGGGCGCCGAATCTTCGCTCATCGCACATACTGCACCTTCCTGGGGGCACGCTTTGCCGGGCAGCGTGGCAATGAACTACGAGATTTTAAAACTATTATGGTATATTTATAGTCGGTTATAGTATATTATAGTCTACTATAGTATATTATAGTATACAATAGTATATTATAGTATATTACAGTATACTATAGTATACCATTATATTATATATATATATATTATATTAGATTATGTTAATGTAGACCCTTGCTTGCTCTTGCGAAAACCTGGCCGGCGCTCCTCTCGGCTCCGTCTGTCACCCGTGGCCCATGGCACTTGAAGGCATAAGGGTTTGGGGTTTGGGGTTTAGGGTTTGGGGTTTGGGGTTTGGGGTTTAGGGTTTAGGGTTTGGGGTTTGGGGTTTAGGGTTTAGGGTCAGAGCTGGCAAACACATGGTAGCTTCGGCCCTCTTCGCGCCATGTCTTCATGGGACACCACATGAAATATGGCCGCCTGCAACAATTGGGCTTCTTCATGACCGCAACAACGAGAGAGTGCAAGTTTGCTTCTTGAGTTGGCATTTGACAAATGGGCAAACTCTGGAGCACAGACCGTCTGCGCATCTGAGCACCAGCTGGTGGAGTATCTTTTCCGAGCGCACTCAAAATTCTGAAAACTTTTCTGCCAGTCCATTTCTCTGGCAAGGCTTGCCTACTGGCTGAGAAATCATGGCGAATGTTGGAACACCAGACAAGCGACAGGTTTGCTCGCACGGAGGGTATGAGCCCAAGCATCAAGTCTTCCAATCTTTGTTTCAATGGAATTTCGGTCGTGCTCAGGTGCAGAGTTGTCGCGTCACTATGCGTCACCGCGCATCACTGCATCGGCGAATGGTGTCTGCTGCCGAGAGTTGACGCTTTCCATCAGGCTGGGCAGCAAGGGAGTTCTGTTGAAAAATGCACCGGTGGTCGAGATTTGCGTTCGATCGCAGCTTCCAAACATCGGCCCCATGACCGTCTACATCTGTGGCTACGGTGGAGATGCACATGCAGACAATCAATACTGCAATTCGAAAGCCAAGCTTTACAAAATCTTCAGTTGCCTGTCAGGATAGCCAGCGTCTGCCTGCAGGCACGCTCCCCAGGCTTGGCAACACAGCACACCTTTGCAGCTGCCTTGTTCTCGTCGAAGAGCTTCTGCAAGCCTTCCATGTACACCTCACGAGACGCAAAAGGCATGCCGGAAGTCGTCTTGGTCTTGGAAGCTGAGCAGCAAAGCTCACTCAGACAACCTACATCTTTAGCAAGTCGTGCGACACCATGATGAGCCAGGCCAAAACCCTAAACCTTGGGCGCTGCCCCCATACAGTAGCAGTCTGTGATAGGGCCACTACTAAGGGCCTTATATATCCATATTCTGAATACTACTCAACTGTTACTGAGTGGGGGCAGTATCCAACCTCAACCCTGCGAACCCTAGGCCAGGCCTTGTGCCAGTGGTCCACGTCCTCGTTCGAGGGTTCTGGGATCTGCGGCAAGTCGATTCCTTTTCCCACCTGGGACGATGAGATGCGCGAGTGCTGGGAAATTTGATATGGTTTGATGTAACAAAATACAGTAAATTTTGATCTGATACAATAAATTACGTGTGGTATATAGTATAGTCTAGTCTAGTCCAGTATAGTGTAGTATAGTATAGTATAACAAACATCGTGTAATATCGTATAATACAGTATAATGTAGTATGATATGGCATAAGATAGTATAACATGGTATAACACAATATAGTGTAAGGTAGTACAACATAGTACAATCCAGAATAAAATAGTATAATAGAGTATAGTGCTGTATAATATTGTGTAATTCATGCTCAGGAAATGCTAATATAGTACAATATACGAAATATTGCTACGATCTTGTATAATATAGTGTAATCTAGTAAACTGTGGTGTAAGATAGTATGTTATTACTTCATAACTATATATAAAATGTGAGTTTCATAACGATTCTGCAATCGCAGGGTCTACCGGTCTACCATGTTTGCCGTCAAGAAGCGTAAGTAAGCAGCCTGGACTGCGGTCGGGGCAAAAATGGCAGAAGAGGCCAGCCGAAGAATGCCACGGCCGGCACATTATTTTTCGCCTCAGCGACAGGTCTAGGGCCTGCTGATGCAATTTTTATACTCTACTATATTATATCATGTTATACCTATGCTATACTGTACTATCGAGATCCAGTGCTGTCAGTGTGGTCAACATGGTCCGTAGAGTAGACGTACGAGTAGAGACTAAGAGTTGGATCGTCCTTGCAGCTTCTCCAGACTCCAAAGTGCCCAGAAATTAGCAGCCAGCATATTGAGAAAAGAATTGAAAGCGACATTCAGCACTCAATACCGTGAACCTCCAAACCTGAAAACTCGATCCTACACTTCTGGATCTAGTGGTGTCGGATTGATGATCGCAGGAGCGGCAGAAGCAGCAACACTAGTGTCAGAATCGCGAGAACCAAAGCAATGCAGACAGACAGACAGACAGACAGACAGACAGACAGACATATGTATGTATATATATATAATATATATATATATATAGACATATACACAGTACAGGGCAGCTTCTGGAATCACTCATGGCATCCCGTTTCCGCCCTCCGCGCATGCCTTGCACTTCCGCAAAATTGCTGCACACCCACAAGAATGCCCAAAGTTCCCTAGAGTGTTGCCATGCTGCCGTGGGGAACATGACCAAGCGCCACGACAGTTTATGAAAGTAAAATCCTACTGGGAAGTTCTCATTGCCTTGGGGTCTTCTTGGCCTAGTGGCAGGTGCCTGTGCCAAAGCAAGTTGTACCACACTACATGAACCCGTTCATCCTGGGCATGCTGCAGCGGAAGTACGATTTGACACGTGCTGAACTATTCAGTAAGTGCCGCGCGATATTCATGCGCATTTTCTTCATGCCTCGGAATGTGTAATACCTCGGTGACCAGTCGGGGTAGCATTCGGAGTTGCAGACAAGTTGCCTTCTATTGCCATGAAAGTTGCTACACCTACTGTGCACCATCGCCGGGTCGCGTCTCACACTCTCCAAAAGTGTAGACAGGATGAGCACGATATCCATACCTTGGACCATCTTTCCATTGATCACACCTTCTTATATATTATCTACCCTTAACCCTGCACGCTAAACCCATATGATGTATTAGAACACACTAATATGTTACGAGCACCTCCAGGCACAGCCAAGGCTCCGGAGGCAATACTTAATGAAGCCCTTCCTGTTGCGAAGGACACAGACGTCCTGGCAAGATACCACACTTCCTCTAGTAATAGTTTCAGAGCAGTAGTGGTAGCAGTAGTGGTAGTGGTAGTGGTAGTAGTAGTAGTAGTAGTAGTAGTAGTAGAAGCAGCAGTAGTAGCAGTAGGAGTAGGGGAGTAGCAGTAGCAGTAGCAGTAGCAGTAGCAGTGGCAGTGTCA